ACATTAGTGAGAGTAGGTAATAACACAATTATGTAACACGTATTCGCGCATGCGCCGAGCAATAATAATGTAATCGTCAAGCATAAACGTCAATAGGTATAATAATAATATGATGTAGAATATCGAGAAAAATAAAGAGAGGGAAATAGTTGCTAGTTATTCAAGGATAGAAAAAAAAATCATTGATGCATTTAATGGTCGGAATCGGAATCGAACAGTGCAACTGCATAAATCGTGTTTCTTGTATTAAATGAGAGTTGATGATAGTCCATGGTGTGTTCAGCGGATAATTAAGCCGCGGCGATGGGAGACGCGATGATAATTCATCGCGGCGGCGGCCGATAAAAGTCGGACCGAGGCAAATCTCAGGTGCATCCCGCTGCATCTCGTACGTCTCACTACACATATGCAGACGAATGCGGATCGATCTCAGCACCGGGAATCCATAACGGGAGTTTACGATAATTGTCGGAGGCCTCGTGCAATTTCAAGCTTAATAGACCGGCGTCTCTCTTTCTCCATCGCGCGATCGTCCGCGTCGTCGCGGAATCTCCGCCGCGGAAAATCGCGATGAGAAAGCCGGCTTGCTGATCTGCCAGTCCGGCGGTTCGATATTCGTTAGTCAGGCCGCATCAACACCTTCCGATCCGTAAGGCCGCGGCTTCCCGTGAAATCGTCTTTAATCAGACGGTCCGAAGTCGATCGCGCTCGATTAACCGCGACTGCGTGCCGCAGCTCGTCGAATAAAAATCGAATAAAATATCCGATTTGTAAAGAACTGAAGGTTCTAAAATGAAAAAAAAAAAGTAAAAATAGAAACAGCAAAACAAATAATGAAAATGCAAAATTGAGAAAGAATTTCTATTACTATTACATATATCAAGATATTTCATCTTTTAAATAAAAAAATTGATTTATATAAAATTAATTACAACATATCAATAGTATCTTAACGATATACATTAGTATTTACAAAAAAGATAATTTCTCACATGCCATATGTTTCAGAAATGATCTTTAAGTATAGAGCACAATCGTTTCATCATATACATCTAAAAAAATCACGCGCCTACTTCCGGGTTGATCTCAATCGCGGGCTCATCGATCGCCGTGGCCGAAGGAAGCGTCAGCTGTGCACGTGGAAAGTCTCGAGAATCGCGCAAGAAATTGCGCGGAAGTAATCGCTTTGCAAATTACAACGCAACCGTGCGAAGGCTAAGTTCCCTTTCTCAGGTTCACATATATTTCTCGCGGATTTTTTTTTCACGATCAACTTCTCGTATATACATGAATACATAAACAGTGTGCCGTATGGTGAAATTCACGGATAACTAATGTTTTCCGTTAAATTAATATCTTTCGGAAACTACTTGTGCACTTTAAATAATTAACAAATTTTTTTTAGTTATTAAAAGACGAGCAGTCTTGATGATAGAAATTCTCTCAAATTTGATGTTTCTTTCGAAAACAGAATACACACGGAAGGGCACGATCGGAGAGACACACATGGGCAGAAGGAATCTACAGGCGCGGGATATGCGCTTCTTCGGGCCACTTTCGGGGAACTTTTTTCGCATCGTGTTATAACGGTAATTCCGCTCGGACTGTAATTGAAAGAGAGCAGCACACACAACGCGGCAGCAACAGCAGCAACGGCGGCGGCTTAATTGCACTAGGTCGAAATCATCGAGGGAACGACGGACGGACGGACGGCGAGGGTACCCTCTTCTCTACCGCGGCCCGTTCTTCGAAAGTCGTTTATAAGAGAGAGGGCCAAGAGAGGAGGTGACCCCCGATAACTCCAGGTCGGAGCGAGGCAACGCTCCGGCTCCTAAGCTCCCATTATTCGTCGGGTTCGACCGAAATTGTCGATCGTTACGGAAGCGTGGATTTGCTTGCCTCCTCGCTGGCGAACACACGCATCATACTTTAACCCGGCAATTTACATTTGATATTTATAATTTAATCATTTTCGCTCGTGATTGCGGCTCTTTCCCGAGATACCACGGCGAAACGACGGGATAGCTACGAAAGAAACAAGTTATAATCATTTTTATTTTAGCGTGCGCTGTCTCTAGTAAAAAAAATATTTATTTTTATAATTAGAAACTGTATAGATATTTGATATGTAGGATCAACTTTAATATTAAATAGAATTAAGCTTAAACAATTTATGATTGACGATTTAAAAAATATTGGATACGATTTTATTCGAAATTAATCCCGGAAATTATTCGAAGGAATAAAATAAGTTGCAGTAAAACTGCGCGATATTGTCGTTTCTGGACAAAGTTCTCCCCTGTCCAGAGAAAGTACACAATACGAGGAGGAAAGACGCAGTAAGAAAATTATAAAGTGCCAGTGACGGGGCAACATCCGCAAAAAAACTATACTTACGCCGTAAGTGCGTAATCTCTCCTGGCTGAGAACAAGGAGAAGGATGTAACGCCGCCCTCCTATCCTTGTGCAATTCACGAGAGAGACGCGTTAAGCTAGTAGTCGTCCAGCGACATGCTACGTACCAACGATCACGAGGACAACGTAAAGAGATGCTGATTAATTAAAAGTAAATTCTGATCATAGATTGATATCCGACCGAATAAAATAAAATTTAATTTCTGTGATGTGAAACTCAATCGCATTTCCAAGCAGTCCTTGTACGCAAGGTGTAGCAATAATCATAGTTTCTCTTAATTACTAATTCTATCAAGGATTAAAAGTTGTTTTTTCCTGATTCGATTAAATTTATAGTTATTTTTCTATTTAAAGTATATTGAGAGTATATTAATCCGTAAAAATATACGTGTACATATTATATTATATTTATATCAGATGTTACTTTTAAGCAAAAAATAGCAAAAGAGTTTCTTATCGCATTAATATCAAGAGTAACTTAATAAACTACATCAAATAAATCACCGTCTCTCTCGTCTCTATTTATCTAATCGCTCCAGTTTACAGCAGTTTGCTCGTGATTTGCTGTTATGTAACTCACTAATATATAATCGTTTTTTACACGGTGACATTCAGGCTAACATGATTTAGATAAATGCAATAATCTTCTTAATTAATTAATTAGATCTCGCAATATATATTCAATCGTAATACCTGCTATAATATATCGACGAATAACTCAGCTATCAACTAAATAGTGTACTCGTGTAAGCGGGTATGTATATTATGCAAAAGACGGCTTTGCTAGTATAGATATGAAAGCAATAAAAAATATGCGGTAGAAGCAGGAACGTGAGAAAATGACAGAGTATTAAGTGTTTGTTTCATAATTTGTAGATTTATGAAATGCTTCACTGTTCATTTTTAATATCAGGAATCGATTTCGTCATTGAGTTAAACTGTGATACAAATCATTTTTTATACATTTAAATTGTATATGCTAATAAAAAATTAACTTGGTCTTTCTCTCTCTCTCTCTCTCTCTCTCTCTCTTTCTCTCAATCTACTAAGAATAAAATCTACGTTTTTTTTTATTACTTCTATGCAATTAGTTTTGTATCATTGATCGTTCCCCCTAAGGCGGAAGACTGTGAGATCAAAACACATGTACGTGAGAACGGCCTCGCGTCGCAGATGCTGCATCACGCACGATAGCACCTTGTGAGGTGATGCAACAAGCGGTAAACTATGAGCATTTGAAAGGAGTCAACGCTATGCGCTGAGATCGCAATGATCTATAATGGTCGCGGAGACTGGTATGGAAATCTCGCCGCACTGTCTTGCAAATTAACTTCCGATACGCGATGGTAGCAGATCTTGTGTAAATCATGGCGATAACGAGATGGCATTCGTGAACCGAGTATAGGTATTTTCTACTGCATTATTATAAATCAATAATGGGATATGCACAAACGTACAAATATCGAAATCATTGATACTCATTTGGCCGTTCAATTATAACCGATTTCCTATATTTTGTGGACAGACGCATGTTAAAAGCGATTTTTGCTGCATAAAAGCAATTATATCTATAATTAGTAAATAATAAAGATTTTAATATTTACGCAAGTAATCTACGAACAAAAACTTATTTGATAGACGTGCAATGAAAACTTGCGTTCAATCATACATAAATGTGTATCGTAATGGCCTGTCACAACTGTTTATTTTTGCGAATGTACGCTTCGGGGTATGTATGCACACTGCGTTGTGTAGATATGCTTGCATCATCTGTTCGAATACCCGTTGTACCGCTGCATTGACTCTTTTTTCCCGATCTCACTTGTCGCTGAGCAAAGCGAAAGAAGGAGATACTTTTCACTCGACTGCGTAAAGCTTTACTGCTGGCGATCGAGCAAGCGTACAACGTTAACGCAATCGTGACTTAACGATCGCGTAAACAGTCGTTTCGCATAAATTAAAAAGTACGCGTTCGCGCTGATTATGTCTGATTATGAGTATAAATAGTACTTGTGAGATCTTCTCGCATGGTGTGCTTTTTACGGCTTTTAAATGCCGGCTTAAATGCCTGCAGCGAAAGATATTGCAGTGGCTACGGAGTTTACATTATCAGACTGGAGGTTTCAATTATTTTAATTTGTATGTTATAAAGTCGTGTGTGTGTGTTTTTGTTTCTTAAATATATCGTACCAACTTTTTAAATATGTCGCGTGCCTCGTCTTATTCTATTCAATTCATGTCATAGATAGATGATAAAATAATTGAGTGTAGACTTGCAGATTTGCAATTGTAATTTATGTCTGTGCATCTATTTGACAAACTGCAATTTTCAAAATTAGAGTGCTATAGAAAGTAATGTCTATCCAGCTTGTTCAATCCTACGTAAAATTTATTCTATTCATCTATTCTCTGACAAGCTCGTTCGTATTTGCACGAGTTGCACCCCGAGGGCGACAATATCGCTATTATATTGTTTGACATTTCAAATGAATTTTTTCACCCGTTTCGAAACGCCAAGAGAAGCACGCGAGAGTATCTTCGTGAATCGCAGGAAGGTGTGGAGTGACGTGTGTCGCGATGAATACCTGTATGAGGTGGGCAAGGAACAGGACGTAGGTGGCGGCCGCCCTCATGTCTCTCCCTGGGGAATCCCTCGACTACCGCATATCATCGATATCCCCTGCTGCTGCTTCTCGGCCGCTCCCTCGAGCACTCCTCCGCGCTTTCGATGATTCCTCCACTGTCCTCTCGTCACGCCGTTTGAATATATATGTGTATCCTTCGCTCTCTTTCTCTCTATTTCTCTCACCACTCTCACCGAATATTATCGATCTCTAATTATCGGCACACTGCACTCCGCAGATCCTTCCGGTCCGCGCACCAACACCGAATATCCACTGGCCGTATGTCCTCCGCGTGGAGGGTCGATCCTTTTTCCTTTCCGCTGAGCACTAAACACTCGTGAACACTTTGTGAACGAATGCAGGAAGACTCGCGTGCGTTTTTCTCCACTGTTTCTCGTCCGTAAAGATTCTCGAATCCTCACTTTTTCCGTGCATAGACGACACTCAAGGAGGAGATAAAATTCGCGTAAGCTCCGCGACACGACAGATACCTTTCGCTCTCAAGAATACTCCAAGCACGAGCGGTTACTACGAATCCGCGATAATATCTTCTTTTCTCGCGCCTCTTTTTTTCTTTCGTTCTGTAATGCACTTGTTTCGTCGTTCGTTAGTGTTTTCGTGCAGGACTAATTGCGAATTAATTACGCGATTTGTGTCTTCAAATTTATTGGGCAGGAGAAAGCGATTACGCGCGCAAAAGCCTAATGATTGCACGCGCTACTCCAAGATTTGACACCTGCTTTCCTCGATGCGCGCACAAGCCACGGCGTTCAGCACGTGTTCTATGTGTATGCGCGATATGACAGTTTGTAGAAATCGATGCTAGTAGCGGCATGTATACTCTTCTTTGCCGGATATGTATAGTTATGAATGGATCTAATTACAGCGGACGATTCCACAATCTATAAACATGCTACAATATATGAAAGACGAAAACAATTCGGAGCTCGGGCTGTCAGATAATTCCAGTGACATTCCATGCGTCAATTAATCCCTGATGCGCGACGGACGAGGAGGAAATTTTCGCGAAGAGTCGTTCGCACCCTGAATAAAAGCCGAATTTACTTATCGTTGCAAAACTTCGCTCGTCGCTCACTGTTTCACTCAGACATGTAATACTCTTGTGGTTCTTTTTGAAGCAGCGATTTTCTCAATATCTCGGAAGAGGAAAGAGATATCTGGGCACTATGTTGAGAGGACGAAACGTGTGACACTGCTCACGCACACGCGTGACGCACCGCGAGAGTCCGCGAGATCGACCGTCCGGCGTCGGCGCCGCCGCGGAAACGCGCGACGAACAGGTGTGTGCACGTGTCCAAGATACGTGCTAGCGTGTGCGTATACGGTGTGCAACGTGTCTTCGTTGTGTGCGTGAACACGCACGCACGCCGCTTAGTAGCCGGCGTGCATAAAGGTGTATGTGTATGTACACGTATACGCGTATGTGTGTGCATGAATATACGTATGCACGTCCGTGTGTACCGTTCCTGTATCCACCACTGTATCGTGTGTGCACGCTGAAGCACGGAAACGCAGTAACATCCGCGGGGTACACGACTCGGTCGCTCCGGGGATACTGAAGTTGGAGCCGCAGGCCGGCCTGCGGGCCTCCCCCCTATCCATCGCGGCTCGTCCCCTCCCTTCTGTGCAGCCCCCTTCTCAAGTCATTCCACCTCCGGGAGCACGAAGGACCCCTTTACGTGTACCCCGCGTTCGCGAACTCTGTCTCGCATCCTCACGGGGTCCTCTCTCTTTTTCTCCTCCCGCATCACGACTTTACACACGTTCGCCGGTGCGGCGCTCTCCCTCTCTCGTTCTCTCTTACTCTATCGCAAATCCACCTCGCGGCTCGCATGTGCGCACGTGCGTGTGCATCGCCACGTTTGCTCGCGCGCGCATACGTGGCTGTGTGCGCGCCGCGCGAACATCTCGAGGGCTCTTTGCTCTCTCTTACCTTTCTATGAGGCATTACACGACGACGTACACTTGTGCCCCTCGTGCCGGGATGCTGGGCCCGGCTGAACACGAGCGAGCGCGCGTTCGTATATAAGTCTTACAATCGGTTTCATCACGAGCGGCATCGCGAAGTCGGTAACGCCGCGCGGCGCGGCCGTTGTGTATTCTCACCTCTTCTCTCGCGATCGAGGTGAGAAACGCGTGGCTTAGGCGCGCTCTTCGACCGCTGCTCGTGATATAAATTTCGCGGGGCTGCTCGTGAGGCATCGCGGTCTGAGGTCTGCCGTCCAACGAATCGCATCGCTGCTGGAACGTCAGAGTAATATAAATTTCGTCAGTATTGTGAAAGAATAGCGAATCGATGAACGTAATGAAAATTGTGGGAATAATAAGAATCGCGTTTGTTTCTGTAAGCGAAAAATATATCAAAAATACTAAAACATGACATTCATACAAATAATAATCTTAAATAAAAATTATCTTCTTAATATTAACATTTTCGTAAAGGGTAACGAAATTTTTCAAAAAAAATTAACGCGTAATGTTTCGCCGTGATGATCCGTCTTTCTCAATTTAAAAAATCAGAAAAAATCGCAAGATATATCGATGATTGTGTCGATATGCTGAATTCGAGAGTTCATAAAATAATCGACAGGTTACTTTCTTTGTACATTGAACACCTTGTTTTACGGAGACAATAAAGTGTTTAAATGTCGCTAATAATCATCGTATCAGAAATCAGTTGTTTGTATCAGAAAGGTTCCCGGTAGGCTCCTTCAGCTGGCAAGACAAAATTATATATATTTACGAAGAATGATTTTGGACGATGAATAATGGATAAGTCCTGTGTCGCGTGTCCATCGTCATTATGTGGCTAGCGGGTTATGCTCCTCGCAAAAGAGAGATACCATCGCTGTCGCGTCGTGACGATCATTGAATTTCTGCCCCATATACATACAGTATATATCGTTCCACGTAATTCGCGTGTCGGGAATATCGTGCGAACTGAGAAGCCGCGGGCCGAGTTAAATGGCTATAAATTATCGCTGCAATAAGAAACCTCTTCGCTGATCTCCCCTTTCAGGAACTACATAGTAACGATGCATGTCACTTTTACGTGACGCGACGTCTAGTAATCGGAGAATAATTAAACGCATGCGGATTGATGCACAGTACTTTCTTGAAATTTCTATGTAAATTAACGACGTTCATTAAAATTGTTCATAATAAAAAATTCGTAGATAGCTTCTAAATTTATATGTCCAATTAAAGCATTCGGGCTATTAAAAACATTTATAATGGACGAAGAATAATTTTGTTATCTTTTCTAAATTATTTTACTACACAATGAAAATTTATTAAGGTAAGATCGCGCGTTTCAGCCAAATTATGAGCTTAGAAAAATTTTTGCAAAACACTAAATATCAGTGATAAAAAAGTGCAAAAATATTCAAGAGACAAGAATTGAATGACAAAACTCTAATATTTGAAATAAAATTTCATGATGCTCGCGGCAGTTTGGATTAGCGCGGTCAATACAATTACGGCGAAGTTATCTTCGACTGAAAGAGCCTGTATGGATAGGTATAGTGCAACGCGGCGGGGCTATATCTATTCTCTCTTTCTACTCTTCTAGCGGCAGTCTCTTGAATCCGACGGCGAACCCGGTGTGGTAGCGCAGCAGGATGGTGTACCTACCGTGGTCCACATGGGCGGATGGACGAACGGCGAACATCAGTAGTGGGATGTTGCGCGATGATGCTGCTTGGTCCACGTTCATCCGTCGTTCTTTCCTTGTCTCTCTCCCTTCTCTCGTTACAGTCTCTCCATTCTCCTCTATCCTTCTTCATCTCTCATCATCTCATTCCGTCCCGTTCTGCTGTCCTTCTCTTCTTACTACTAGGTACGTCGCTCTTCTCGTTCTCGCTTATACTTTCCGCCTTCCTCCAGCTTTCCATCTCTTTCTTTTCCTCGTCTCGGAGGACTTGCTTACTCGAGGGCCTCGAGTTAGCCGGCGGGCATTATGGTGGCTACTCCGTTGGCTTCTCGCGTCTCTCGAAAGCTCACGAGAGAGTGTGCCCCCCTGAGGGTCAAGGAACTCCCTCGGGAACAGGTTCACCTCCTTCCCCGCCTCTCTTCACCCCCTTCTCTTTCCTCTCCTCCTCTTCTTCCTCTCTCTCTCTCTTTCTTCTTTCCCCTTTCCTCACTGCGCCGCGCACTGCCAACCCGCCCTATGCCCCCTCCGGTTCGTACCTTAGGGTTTTACTTATTTTCTCTTATTACCGCCGTGGGCATGTAGACATGTTTCACACATACATCTGTGAATCCAGCCCGTACGTACACGGGGTACGGTCCACCTCGAGGTTCACCGGACTCCCTCCATCATACTCAGCGCCGTTCCCTATGTTCCTCTCGTCTCCCCGCTCGGTGCTTCACTCAGGTACTCCAATATGTGAGCACATTATTACAGAGGCGCAAGAGGAGCGGGAGGGAGGCGAGAGTCATGGGGAGTTTCTCTCGCGAGGGAGCAAAGACGAGGCGAAACGCACACGCGTTCTCCCGGTAGATGAGGAAAACGCGCGAGTGAGCGTTCACGCAAGGGTGTTTAGGTGCGGTTCCCTCCCCTCGCGCGACCCTTCGCATACTCCTCTTCCTCACTTCCCCATCCTCCCTCCGACTGTCCCGAGCCGAGCTCCTCTCCGAGAGCCAGATACGAGATTCCACCTGTGCTGCCTCTGATACGCTGCCGTTGCTGCCGTGCTCATCCTCCTCGTCTCTTCCATGTCTTCTCCGTGTCGTGAGATCGTTTCGAATTTGCTGGATAGCTCGTCCTTTCTTCGTTTCTTTCTCTTCTTGTTTTGCCCACGGTCTGGACTTTTAAGAAAACAAGAAAAAAAAAGAATTGGAGGATTATGGCGGCGTTCAGACGTGTGGATTTTCGGTACGCAGTACACATGAATCGATGAACGGAAGAAATGCAAAGGCTTGTAATAAGGGCATTTAGCGGTCCTCGCACTTTGCGATTCTCTCGCACGTCCTCGCCTTTCGCCGTCTCAACTGTCCGTTAAGAAATTACCTACCACTTCACACACGCATTCGGCGGCTTCCTTGTCTCCGATCTCGTTCTCCCGCGCGAGATCGTTCCGAATTAGCCGAATACCGCGCGCATTTTTAACAGCTCGACGCAAATGGCACGGGACGGAGGATTATGTGGGCCGGTTCGGCGATCGTGAATATTTTGATGTTGCAGCGACATTGGCGTGGCAAAAATGAAAGAATCATAAAGTCGCCTTTGCTTGGCCGCTTTTCTTTTTATCAGATTTCGCTGGATTTTTTCTCCAGGGATATTCCAGGATATATCAGGATATATATCGTCCGTTAAATAAACGAGCACTACATATATTATCATTTTAGTATTTACATATACGCTAGGTATGTAATTCGAAGAAGTACTTTTGCAACGAATCCTATATCTATACTTTTCTCGCGCGTGTTATCGACAGAATTCTAAGCATATTATTCTCCTTGCCTTCTATTTTCATTATTCATGAATTTACGTTTAGGTTTCTGAAGGGCTTTCGCAAAAGCGGGAGATGTAATGGATACGCGACGGGGCGCAAACCGCGCGGAGCGTACACACACGCAGAAGGATTTTAATGATCTTTCTTCAGGCATTCGTCGGACTATAGATACCAGATTCCACATGGACCGCAGCCGTACGTTGCTTCGAACTCGGCTGCATTCGCAGCCTGTCTCGAGGACACGAACTTCTTATGTACTCTTACTTTCTTTATTTCTTGTAAAACTAATATGAACATCCCGATTGGAGTAATTATTTGCAACAAATATTATATACTTGACAATTTCTTCTGATATATTCGCTTCAATTTATGCACATATAAAATATTATATGTGATATTTCATAAATATCATACATTTTCCAACACATTTTCGTCTCATCTTTCTGAAATACCTTAAATAAAAATCACCGACATTTCTACTATTATTGTTTACACTACTTTCACGAGAAATATGTTGATAATTTTAATAGAGATTTCATTCAATCAGTTGTAATGAACATCTTTAAGATGTACAAAAAATTTAATGCCGCTTTAAGATTTCGTTAGAATTTCATAACTGTCTAGATGTATGCTGGACAGATTCGCAGGCGTGTCATGAACTCCAGGATAGCTCGGTTTCTCCGGTTCCGTTATCCCACGAATACCCGTCAGGTGTCCTTTTGACGTCTCGCTAATTGTTGCTGAAAGCAAGTATGCCCGTTACATAGCCATGAGGCTGGAATAGCATGATAGTTCCTTTTCTTCGTATGCGAAATTATGCAGATTCTCGCGAACGAAGCGAATCAGCGAATCGATGATATGCAAATTTTACGACGAACGCGCGTAATTAGCGGCGCTTCGACGAGCGCGTAAATAAAGTAAAACTTTCTCTGCTCACTATTCATTCGAACCTTATTAAATAATTGCATGGCATTCGCCACGAAGATCGAGCACGTGAATAGTATTCATGAATAGAAGTAAAAGTAAAAACGCAACTGAATATTTTTTTTATCTCTACAATCCCGTAACGATACAA